GAAGAAAAGCTAAATTTGAGGCAACAAAATTCATTGATGCGTTCAAAAAATTTATTTCAGTGTTTGCTATTATCCATATTTTCCACATTTTCACTCGCAATGTGTTGCTTGCGCTCTCAACATTTCTGCCCCTATGTTCAAATCTTTCTGTACACTGTTATATTTGTGCCACAAAACCACAGACTTGGATGCAAAAAATTCTGATTGGCTGTTTTGGTCTCCAATCAGCTCGCTAGCTACTGTACCCAAACCCAGAATGCATTTCGTCCAAAACTCAAACGAGGAAGTTGAAGAAGAACGCAGAGTGGCGACGTTTGAAATATTACTCTTTCTAGATCACAAAATAAATGGCCTGTATTTGTATAGCGCTTTTACTAGTCCCTCCTAGGGACCCCAAAGCACTATCGATTCAGAAATCGATACCTGCAGCAAACAGCGGTCTAAAGGAGCGGATGGTTTGTACCACACCACATTAATTTCAAGACTTTCTTCACATTTTTAAGATTGAAAGTGAAAAAATATTAAAAGTTGTATCAATTAAATTCAGTGTTGGGTAAGTTACTTTAAAATAGTAACTTAGTTACATTACTAGTTACTTCTCTCAAAAGTAACTCAGTTACTTCAAGTTACTCGTTACTTTCAAAGTAACTAGTTAATAGGGAAAGTAACTTTGGTTTTACTCATAATTCTCTTGTTAATGTGTTGCTTCCATAACTGGATACCCAGCCAGATTGCCAGTCTTCTAGCTTGCTTACTTGCCACAAGTGCACTGTGCCACCTACCAATAGAAAGGAAAAGATAATGTGCACGATTCTACCATGATTCTAGCCTACGTCACAGTGTCATGTGCGCCTTTTACATCCAACACAAAAACTGCAGTCGTGGTGCTTTCGATTGTACTCAGAACTCGGAAATTCTGCCTTCTGAATAGGAAGATGTAGGTAACACCAGACTGCAGATGAGCTGCATACAGGGCTGGACTGGGACAAAAAATCGGCCCATTATAGGAAAAATCATAAAGCCTTTGAATGAAAATAAACACTGTTGTGACAGTGATGTTCACTGTTTTGATGGTATATATGCATCAATCTATCAATCGTTTGTCGTAAGATTCAGATAATTATTTTTTAAAAGCGAGACATTTTAAATGAGAATAAGAAAGAAAAGTATTTCCCTGTTAATGCCCTACCTGGCCCCCTGGCAACACATGCTAGATCCGCACCTGCACAGTTAGCAGCTGTCAGCTACTTAGAAAAGGATCCTGGAGTTAATTGTCTCTCAGAAACAGTTCATAACTTCTCTTCAATCATTCATGTCAGCTAAAAGGTAAACCTGTTTCTCCATCACCTGTTCAGCTCTGATGGTTCAGTAAGGACATCTCCTGGTTTCATCTTCATGTTTCCCTCTCACCAGATAACCAAACCGACATCATGACCAGCAGCTTTTTTGCAGCTGTGGCTCCAGCAAACATCAGCTGATACTAGAAATTAATATTAAATAAATTCTAACAACAGCTGATCAAGCTTAAACGTGCTGCTGTTGTTTAGAGCGACATCCGCTGGTTTCCTCTTTCTGGCACAAAGTGAGCAATAAACAAAATAAACAAACAAGAGAGCCGATCAGCTGATCACTGATCAGTTTTCATGATTGAAGTAGAAACGGGAGAGGGGAGGGGAGAATGAGAGAAGAAGAGGCAGCTGTGCAGCGTAAACACAGAATAACTCCAGCTTTGTGCCTTTTTCATTGTAGCTGAATTACAGGACAAACTGTTCCTTTTCACCTCAATAAGAAACGCATAATATTTTCTCTGAATACCAGACGGGACGGTTGGCAACTCTAATAACTTATGAACAAAATAAAGTTCAACATCATTAACTTCATAGCACCCACCCAGCTGTATAGAAACTCTGTCATGCTAGCTAGCAGGCAGTACGGAAAAAGTCAGAATAACGAAAATAAACTCCACCTAAACTTGGTTTATATCTGACCCAGAGAGACTGCAGGTCATAACTTCTTACCTGAAGTGCAGTTCACACTCGGACCGGCGGCCGCCTTGGGTCTCTCCTCTTGCCTCCCTTTTCCTTCATCCACCTGCTGGCTTCCACCACTTGCTAATGTTACTGAATATATGCGATAGCCACCACACGAAGTAACGAATAACGACCCTATCTAAATCCCAGTAACGACTAACGCGTTCCTGATTTTGGCATAATAACTAGTTACCGTGCTCGTTACAACAATAATAACGTAGTTACTGTAACGCGTTACTTAATAACGCGTTAGTCCCAATCCATCCATCCATTCGCTTCCGCTTATCCTTTTCAGGGTCGCGGGGGGCGCTGAAGCCTATCCCAGCTGTCATAGGGCGAGAGGCAGGGTACACCCTGGACAGGTCGCCAGTCTGTCGCAGGGCCAACACACAGGGACAAACAACCATTCGCACTCACATTCATACCTAGTGACAATTTGGATTATCCAATTAACCTATCCCCACAAGCTACATGTCTTTGGACGGTGGGAGGAAGCCGGAGTACCCGGAGAGAACACGGGGAGAACATGCAAACTCCACACAGAAAGACCCCGGCCTGATGTTGGAATTGAACTCAGGACCTTCTTGCTGTACGGCAACAGTGCTAACCACCGTTCCACCGTGCTGCCTGCGTTAGTCCCAACACTGATTAAATTGCATGAATATTTAAAAATATAAAATATTAAAGCTTTTTCACGAGCCAATAACAATGTATATGGGTCACTAAACTCTGAGCCACTGACCTGAGTGTTGGTAAGTTGGCCACTGAATTACTGTTAATGTTAATTAATAACTAATAATTGGTATCATTGGTACAGGAATGTGTGTGTATTCATTTGTTGATTTTTGTGTATAAATGCTGTTCTGCTTCAATTAAATTCAATTTTATTTACATAGAGCCAAATCACAACAACAGTCACCTCAAGGCGATTTATATTATACAGTAGATCGTACAATAATAGATTCAGAGAATCTATTATTGTACTCTCATCTGGCATATGACCCATGGATTAGATTCGTAGATTAGTTTGATGCTGTCAACACCCTTTTCGTGTGAATTCGCTGGGAAACCCTGGGTTTACTTGAGTTGAAAACCCACTTTGTGCAAGCATTTATCAAGGTCCTGGTAAATGGTAAATGGTAAATGGCCTGCATTTGTATAGCGCTTTTCTAGTCCATAGGACCCCAAAGCGCTTTACACTACATTCAGTCATCCACCCATTCACACACACATTCACACACTGGCGATAGCAAGCTACATTGGTGTTAGGGTGGGTGAGCCCAGATACCAGTAACATACCCTGGATAGGGCCGATAGCCAGCAGCATATTCAACTGCCTTTATAAAGGAAACAAAGACCTGATATGAAAGTATATTAAGTCTGGCGTTCAGCCTCAGAGAGGCGACAGCCAGCTGGGTTTATACTGAGAGCTGTGCATTCCATTCCAACTTGCAAGGTGAGCTGGCAGTGGCATTTCCAGAAACAATGAAGCACTTTTGCAAATAGGCGCTATCTTGACAGCATTTTTTTTTTTACAAATTTAACTGACATAGCCATGTGTTTATTTTATAGAGAGCAGATTGCTGTGTTTAAGGATTGCAGTTTGAATCACATGTACAAGAGTAAAAACGCAGCGAAACATGAGAACTTGACGGACTACAATGCTTCACACATCCGGGGAAAGGAACAGTGACGTTTGTGATTTCCCACAAAATCCCAAAAAACAGTAAACCATTTAATGATGGAATTTTGTGGACTCCTTTTGTGGCCTGAGAATAAAGAAGCATTTGAGAATGTGCCCCTCTCCACCTAATTTGACTGCAAGATTTTAAATGTTTCATTTTAAAGTTGTTGGTGTGGTGACTAAACTGCAGTCATGGATGACATTCAGATTAGACTTAGACTCTTTTTACCAGCTGCCAATGACTTGAAACTTCTGACATATAAATAAAATATAACAGCATATAAATGTCACGGCTGGGGCAGCAGTCGTGTGGAGGTGAGAAGGAGGTTCCAAATAGCAGAAAGCGGCGGAGGTGCAAGTGAGTTTTATTTACAGTGAACCATAACCAAGGTGAGGGCAGAACTGAACATAAACCTAAAAAGGGAAAACTAACAAACAGACCTGAAAACATAAGGACAGCAGGAGTTACACAGAGATGACAGCTGAAGAGAAACACCGATTGACACTGACAGACGACGCGACCAGGAGCACAGGCAGACACACACTATAAATACACACAAGGTAATGAGGGAATGACACACAGGAGGGGAGAACAACTCAACCTAATTCACAAGAAGAGACACAGACCTACAAAGTAAAATAGGAAACACACACTGTTTTACAACACAAATTCGGGAGCACAAACAGAGCACAGAGGACAGACACAGGTAGGGCTGATAAAACACTGAAGCAATAAACACAAGAACCAAACCCTAAGAACTAATACAAAATAAGAATTAACACAAAACACGAGATGAAACCAAAAGGAAACACAAAATGCTGGGTCAACGACCTATGACAATAAAAAAATTTTTTATTCATTTATTATGATGGTGAACTTGGTTAAAATCACTTCGTGCACATCTGTAGCTGAAATCTGAAAAACGACATGGAGATAATCCCTGTTCATGTTCAAGTGTACATATTTTTATTACATTTACAAAAACATTTTTAATGCAGTGATTACAGTCACAAATATGTTGCATTAATGAAACCTGAAATTCATCAAATGTAGGAAAATACAGATTCAAACAACATTATAACTGGCGAAACAAAAACTTAAATTAGGTATCAAAACGCTTTTCAGCTAACTGAGAAATACATTTTTAAAAATTACTGTTATTTTAATATTAATATTTCTTTTTTATCTACACATGCAATCATCTGAGATTTTTGAGGTATGACTCATGCTTTACTTTTACTGTTTTTCACAGTAAACTCAGTAAAGTAATTGTCCATAATAGAGTTCACTGACGGTCACTCTCAGAGTTAAGGACTCCAACTTCAAAGACAACAGGACCCTGAATGGTGAAGCCCAAGTAGAACAGCCTTGTTGGCAGCGTTGCTTCAGGTGGTTGAGCTTCTGTTCTTGCCTTTATTTTCTGGTCTCCTACACAAACACACACTTCCTGTTCTTCAAGCTCCTGTGACTCTGCAGAAGAATGTGGCTCGATCTGAACCGGAAGTAGGATATCTCTGATATCTGTAATGTGCCACACTTTCCCTCTGAGCCACAGATGATTGATCCGCCTCATCTTCTCCTTTTTATTTTGTTTATACTTTAACTCAGCATCTACCTTCTCCTCCACTATTGCATCCAGCATGGATCTGTGGATCCATTTGCTCAGTCCAGAGCCTTTTCCCAGAAAAAACAATGGCAACAAGTAACGTCCTCGCAGGTACTTGGCATAGTCGGCTTTCTTAAATGCTTTCTCCATGAATGTGACATACTGTTGCAGGTTGATGTCAAACATGAGGTCAACAGGAAGCTGTGCAGGTTCCCCAGGTTCTTTGTCTCGTTCCTCATCAGTGTCCTTGTCCTCCCAGGCTGAGTCTGCTGACTTACTGTCCTCTGTGGCCTTTTGTGCGACTTCTTCATCGTTCTTGTTTTGTGGCACCTGAAGCTGATTTTCAGGCCAAAACAACATCAGCACCAAAAGATAAAACTCAGGTCTTCTATTTCCTTCTTCTCCTTCCAAGAATGTGTGAATGATGTTTTTGAGTTCATTCACTGGGCTGAGGTTTGGAGAATCTGGCTTCTTGTTGCTTAAGAGGATGTTGGAGAGGATGTAGCTCTCTGCTAGTTTGATATCTTCAACATTTTCCTCGTATGCAGCCTTCAGACATTCTTGAATTGATTCTAAATCAGAAAGAGTTATTTCAGGTTCCTTAAATCTAGCACGTCTTCCCTTTGACATGAAAAGACCGTGGTTCAGCAAATCAAGGAGGCCTGGAAAGCTGGTGGAGTCTGCTGCTCTTCTGTTTGTGTAGTGCTCATAACAGAGTGCAACATCCTTCCAGAAGTAATATGGCTCCAAGATACTAATGCCAGGTTTGGAGTAGGTTAGATACCATTCAAAAAAGTTGAACTCCTCTTCAACTTTTGTTTTTATATCTGGATAAATATCTGCAGAGCAGTCATTGAGTTTACCAAAAGCTAACTTTGCCACTTGAATGAAACCAAAGCGGCCTCTGTTGTTGAAGGTATCAGACCTGCTTTCACCCTCAGCCGCCTCCATTGTCTCTGAGAGCGCTTCATTCTCAGCTTTCTTCTCCACATCTTTAAATGCTTGGAAGGCCTTTTTAAATATATCCTCAACGGGATTAATCAAGCGTTTCTTATAAACTTGTGCCAGAGTGTCAGCCATGTAAGAGTTGTTTGGAGCTCTTTCAATCGCCTTTCTCGCCCATTCTTCAGCTTTAGTCGTATCCTTCTTTTGATACAGACGAGAAATAGTTTGAGGAAAAATAGGATTTGTTTCAAATTTTTCTGATGCACATTTCAGTGCAGAGACAGCATGGTAAAACCACTCTCGTCTCAAAATATCCCTGATCAACTTTGAGAATTTCTCTTGACCATCCTCACTCATTTCTCTCTTTGTTAGCAAATCTTTGACGTATTGGACAATACGTGGTTCACTCTCAGATCCACATAGTAAGTGCATTAATTTTTTCACTGTAGTACTTCTGTTAATCTTCAGATCATGCAGCAGCTCCATGGATCTTTGTGAAATCACTGGGTGATTTATTGTCACATGTTCAGGAACCGGACTGATCAAAAAGGTGAAAGGCTCCATTTGTTCGTTAAAGGGAGGACCTCCATGGATTAGATCAGGTGGTCCAAGGATCTGTTGACACTCATCCATACGGAGGTAAGAATTAGGAAGATATGAGTTCAACAACACCAACAGTGAGAACAGCTGTGTGTTTTGGGACTCTGGATTTTGTTTCACATAGTCTGAAACGCACAGTTTCCAGTAGTTATTACATAAAATCTCTGCTTCCACGTCATCGCTGATGTCAGCCATCTCAGTTTCTGCTGAATTTAGGTTCATTGCAATGAGTTCAAACTTCAAGAGATGAAATGTAGATTTTTTTCTTTATTCCTTCTGGTGCTGAAATCAGACACCTAGAGAAATGAGGATGAGATGGATGTAAATGATCTATTAATTTTAAAATATACCGAATAGATATTGTACATAATTTAAACATATATTCATTGACAAAAAAGATTTTAACAACCACACAGACAGATGTATACAACTTCTGTTACTTCCAACATTTAAGTTTATACACAATATAATTTCATATAATTATTGCTTGAAAAATGGGAGCTCTAAAGTTTCCACATTTCATAAATTCAATTCAATTCAATTTTATTTATATAGCGCCAAATCACAACAAAAGTCGCCTCAAGGCGCTTCATAAATCTCTCAGCTGTCATGTGATAATCACTTTCTGTTTAACATACAATTGCAATAAGTTTTGCTCTGAACAACCAAAAACTTTTTCAACATATAAGAAAACAATGAAAATATTGTTTTCATTAGAATTTGGAAAAACAAAAAATCAGTGTGATATTCAATCTTACATTTATCAGAGTGGTGAAGTAGAGTTATAAACTTTTCATAATAACTTTGAAGTCTGCCTGCTAATTTGGCTGTATGGATAGCAATGACAATTTGTTGGTTGACTTCTTGTACATAGTAATAAAATACAAACAATACAATATACTGTTTAGGAAATTAGAAGAAAGTTTCTTTTCTGACAATGAATGAACAGTGAGACTGTACCAAAGCCCAGTGTGTAGTAAAAAAAAATTTTTTTTAAACTCAAAGTCAAGAAAAATGTGCACTAATAGAGTCGACTATTGTTTAGGTACTTTGCCAATAAACCATAATAAACAAAATTACATCTTTTTTGTTTTATATCATACATTATTACATGTGACATTTGTTACTTCTGTTAAGTGTACAGTAGTAGCACATGTTATAAACCCTGCAAAAAACATGTATTGTGTACTCTGAAATCTTTTACAAACAAAAAACTAATATTTCTGCCTACTCACCTGTTAAGAGACCTGTTGGAGCTGCAGCAGGTGTGTGGATGAGTGCGCAAGATTGAAATTTAAACAACCCGAGCCACGCCTGCTGCATACTGCACATTCCCGTCTCTTTGGTGTTACGTATATCTTTCATTGTGCTGAGAGTGATTTCATCTCTTCTTGTCACGGTCCCCGTGCCTCACTGGTTGATTCCGTGTTAGGCAACATGTGTTTTGTTCTTGTGCTCTCTCTCTCTCTCCCCCTTTCCCCGGCCACAGCGGTGCTCACTGTGGGCTCCGCCCCTGGCCCACACACCTGTGCTCATCATCACACCTGGAGCTGGTTACTACAATCAGAAGGGCTTTTTAAGATGGCAGACCTACACTACTTTGGACCCTTCCCCCCTGGAGCCCCGGACCCCTTCCCCGAGCACCTTGTATATATATAATCACCCGGTGACACCACTGTAAATAAACGAAATAAATCAGTTTCTGCAAAGGTCTCCTGGTCTGCGCCTGAGTCCGTTTACAAAAC